GAGACTGGAACCCTCATACTTTTGATGGGACTGTAAAATGGTGCAACTATTGTGAAAAATGGTATGGTGCTTCCTTAGAATGTTGAAATTAGAAATACCATATGATCTAAAGACCCCACTAGAATATAGCCCAGAGAAATAAGAACCATGACATAAACAGATATATGTACACCAGTTTCATCCCAGCATTATTCACAATAGAAAAAGATGGAAACAACCCATGTCCATCAATGGATGAATGGATAAAAAAAACTATGACACACACACACACACACACAATGTAATACTATGCAACATTAATGAATAATGATGAATATGTGAAACACCTTATGACATGGAACATTATGTTGAGTGAAATAAGTAAATTACAAAAGGAGAAATATTGTATGAAAAGTACTGTAAAAAGTCAAAAGAAAAAAAAATTTACACACAGAAAGAATCATTCTTTGAAGTTTACCAGGAGTGGGAAGGGAAGGGAGAGTAAATCACTAACCAGAGGGTAGACATGGATTAACTTGGATAAAGGGAAAGATAACATACAGTAAGGGGGAGGACACAACAAAATGATCAAAGCAGAGAGATACTGGGAGGAACACTAGAGTTAAAGTCAACAAAGATTAAAACTATTACACACACAATCCTGCAATAACATTAATAACAATGACTTTTGAATGGATAGACACTAAAGCTGAAGGTGAAAGACACCACACTCATGAATATTAAGTCTGACAGAGGATATTTCTACATATGTGTTTATATGTGCTGCAAATCTATCAATGAGTTTAGTAGAGCATACATGGGGCAACATTATGAAAACTTGTTAGTCATAACCAAAAATCTTGAGGGAATGAGTTACTGGGCATAAGAGCTCAGGATCATAGCCTCAGGAGACTCTAAGGTCAACTGGCATAACATGGTCCACAAAGACATTGTTTTACATCCTACTTCATTGAGTAGGGGTCTTAACAGTTTGGGAGCAGCCATCGAAGGTATAACTATTGGTCTCTCCCCATCTGGAGCAAAGAAGAGTGAAGGAAGTCAAAGACACAAGGAAACATTTAGTATGAAGGACTAACAGACCACATGAACCCCAACCTCCATGACTCTGCCATGAAAGAAACTAGGCAGTGCCTGGCTACCACTGCTGACTGCTCTGAAGGAGATCACAGTAGGAGGTCTCAGAGTGGGGAAAAAATGCGGACCAAATCTCAAAATCATAAAAATGATCGAGCTTATTGGTCTGGTAGAGACTGGTGTAACCCCCAAGACTGTGGTTCTTAGACACCCTTCAAGCCTAGAACTGAACTCACCCTTGTGGCTCAACTTTCAGCCAAACAATAGGCATATAAGGCGAGCAGTAATTCTGAAAAGATGTGAACTCACTAGCGCAATCAACCATACACGGTCTAAAGGGCAGCAGTTGCCCAAGAATAAAGCTCAGAAAGCAGGAAGGGACAGGGAAGAAGTAACGGAAATGGTAGACACAGGGAAAATGCATGAGGAGTGTTGTCACATTGTAGAGATTGTAATGAATGTCACAAAACAAAATGTGTATGAATTATCGAATGGAAAAACAATTTGCTCTGTAAACTTCCACCCAAATCATAATAAAAATAATAAAATTTAATTTTAAAAAGCATCAGAAATTATCTAATTTAGTTCTCAAAAATAAATTATGAGGTAACCATTCTGATCCTTCATTTTTACAAGGAAGAAATTGAAATTGAAAAATGTTAAAAACTTTGATATATGTTACATATCTAATTAGTGGCAGAGCTTCGATCTCCACCAGGGACTGTCTAATTTTAAATTCTTTGACAATAATCATTCCAACAGACCATATAAAAAATTTCGTTTTAAATTCTTTGACCCTTTAGCTGACAAAATAATGGGTGCAATTTCACTCAAATGATTATTGTAACTTACTCTTCTTGTGACAATAGGGTCAATTTCTCTGGGATCTTTGTGAGCAAACATCATCAAATCAGCATTCAGGGTGCGGATCCTCTGTAATCTGAGGCGAATGTAGCGAGCCGAGGTGAATTCCAGGAGTTCAGGGGAAGGGTCATCAGCACTTGGTCTTCCATTGATCAGAGAGATGTGAATCTAAACAATGTGAAAAAACAACTGAATTATCCAAATATCAAATATATGGTTTTGTTTATTTGGTTTTTATCCTTGGGAAAAAATAAAAGGTAAGTTTCACTTCCCTGAATTAGTCAGGCTGATGAAGGCTCATGCTTACTGGCTGTAATGTAATGAAATCATCGAGGCATTTTATGTATCTTGATACTTGTAATTCAAATGTTTACATCTTAGGTATTGTCTACATACCACAACAACCCATATTTCACTGCTCCAAGGTATTTGTATCAGCTTTACCTTCCAATCACTCTTTTTCTGAAAATAATTGTGCTTTAAATATTTAAGAATCTAGCATATAGCTAAATGGGAAACCATAAAATTTGGTTTTGAAATTATATTAAAATTTTTCAGACAGTAACAGAAAGTCATCAAGAACTTAAAAATTTTCTGAACTTGAAAGCACCTAATTAGAGTCTTAAAATATAAAGATCAAAAATTGACAGAATTACAAGGAAAACTAGACAAATTTAAAACAGATTTTTTATTTTTTATTTTTTTTAGGTATTGATCAAGATGACAAAAATTTACCAAGGATATAACCCATTCTGAGAAATACACTCTAAGAAAATACATTAAAACATTATGGAATGGCTAATTTTCTAGGATAATAATATAGCAGAATTGATACCAGATGATAAAATGTAATCATACCATTTTACCAATGTTAAAAAAAGAAAAAAAGAATCACATATCAAGGAACTACCCTCTAAAGGAGCACGAGGCCCTCATACTCTCACGAGGATTTCACAAGAACCAAAAATTCTAATGAGAGAAGAGGTATTTGATCGTCGAGTCGGATTTGACTGGTAGCGACCCCTCCTTGAGTTTCTGAGGAGATATCACTACGGAAGTAGATTGCCCCATTTTCCTTCCGAGGAGTGGCTGGTGGATTTGAACCACCAGCCTTCTAGTTAGCAGTCGAATGCCTTAGGCACTATGCCACCAGAGCGCCCATGAAATATTTGATAGAAAAAGATAAAGAATTCCTGTCACAAAGAAAGGAGTATTTTCCTAATGCTTAAAGAATTCCTAAATCAGTAAGAAAAAAGACCAACAAAATAACACTAAAATGGACAAAAGATATGAGGACAGTTCAAAAATAAATAAATATAAATAGTTGTAAAAATTTGATAGGATGCTGAACTTTAGTCACAAAAAGAAAAATATTAATTTAAATCACAGTGACAAACTTTTCTCCACTGTTTGAAGTTGTTAAATATCGATAGTATTTGATCATGGCAAGACTGAGGAGGAACAGGCATTCTTAGACACTTACACAGATGAGTATAAAGTGGTCCAAACCCCAAATTACCAACAATTATCAAAATGTGTGGAATTTTTAACCTATCAAATATACTTCTGGGAATTTATTCTATAGACATATTCAATTTATGCAAATCTATAAAAATATAAGTTATTTTTACAGATTTTTTTCTTGTAAAAATGAGACTGGAAAGAACCTACATATTCATCAATGTGGGACTGGTTAATAAATTATATAATTATATAGCTGATTATGTGTAGTCATCAAAAAAAAAGAAAGGAAAACATACAGGAACAAAACATCTACTCTTTTGTACCTTGGAAATGGATCATTCCCTATGCAATATATTAAATAAAATAAAATTTGTTAAAGAAATAGATATTGAATGGTAAGCTTTGAACTGAAAACACTCAGACACACATACACAGCTAATGAGACAGAAGTCCAGTACCTGAGAATCCTGTGCTGGGGAGGGAGAAAAACAGGCCAGCCCATCAATGTGTCTGGGGAGCCTGTAACTTGAGGTGACTCACTGGAATATTTCATCTAGTTTTGCAAGACAGTGTATCAAGTGTGTTAATTATTTTTTGACAGGAGAGGCAATGATAGGTATCCCTATTACTGTTGTACAACAGAACAAAACACTACTCAATCGATCATTGCTATGTTTGAACTTACTGTTGCAGACACTGAGTCAATCCTTCTCATCGAGGGTCCTCCTCTTTCACTGACCCTCTGCTTTACCAAGCATAATGTCTTTCTCCAGGCACTAGTCCCTCCTGATAACATGTCCAATGTGAGAGGAAGTTTCACCATTCTCACTTCTTCTTCCAAGATAGATTTGTTCACTCTTATGGCAGTCCATTAAGTATTCTTGGCCAACACCATAATTGAAATGCATCAATTCTTCTTTGATCTTCCTTATTCATTATAGAGTTTTCACATGCATATGAGACGACTGAAAACACCATGGCTTGTGTCAGGCACACCTTAATACTCAAAGTGACATCTTTTCTTTATAACACTTTAAAGATTTGCCCAATGAAATACATCATTGATTTCTTGACTGATGTTTCCATGGGCTGTGACTGGATTCAAGTAGAATGAAATCCTGACAACTTCAACATTTTCTCTGGTTATCATAATGTTGCTTATTGACCCAATTGTGAGGATTTTTATTTTCTTTATGATGAGGTGCTAACTATACTGAAGGCTGTAGTCTTTGCTTATTATCAATAAGTATTTTAAGTCCTTTTTGCTTTCAGCAAGCAAAAAGTACCTTCCTCCAATCCTGATGATATGTACTTCAAATGGTCCAGCTTCTCAGACTATTAGCTTTGCATACAGATTGAATAAATATGGTGAAAATATGCAACCTTGATGCACACCTTTCCTGATTTTAAACCACACAGTATTCCCTTGTTCTTTTCAAATGATTGCTTCTTTATTTCTGTGAAGATTCCACATGAGCACCACCAAGTGTTCTGGAATTCCCATTCTTTGCAATGTTATACATAATTTTTTTATAAGCCACACAATCAAAGCCTTTGCATACTCAATAAAAGA